GGTGTTGGAAGGGGCTGCTCAGGGAGGTGGTGGAGTCACCATCCCTGGAGGTGTTCAAGGAACAGCTGGATGTAGCACTCTGGTCTAGTTGACAAGGTAGTGGTTGGTCGCAGGTTGGACTTCATGATCTTGGAGACCTTTTCCAACCTTGATGATTCTATGATTCTATTTTAAAGAGAAAATATAACATGCTACCTGGCCTAGCCACGTGCTGCACTGTCTGGCTGCATGGCACTCTCCAAACAACTTGGGAAATTCTACAACACTCTTTTCTCTCTTTAGTCTCCTCCTTCAGGCAACTCTAAAGCTGAAAACAGATAAACTGCTGAAAAATCCACATCCAATGAGACATCCTAGGCAGTCCTATATTTTACAGTTAGTTACATGGGAGTAAAATGACAAAAATCCTGTAGGCATCAGTTCCAAGCTGACCTCAGTCTGTGATTCAGATATAGTTTGTAGAATTCTTGAATGATAAGGCTTTATGCGTGATGGTTCAGAAGAAAGGTATTTGTGCCAGAAATTTGCAAACCCACAATCTTAAAGGCCTTTTTTCCTGCTCAAATATGAAGCAAAATGGTTCTTACTATAATTGCTCACTCATTTTGTATCTGTGTGACCTTGTTACTCAGCAAAAAAAAAGTGGGGAAAAAAATTGGAATTGAGCTTTCTGGGTCACATAAGTGATAGTGCAAGTGGATTCCCAACTGCTGCTAAATGATAGACCATAAATATTCTGGTAAAATTTAGAATAAATGAATTTCAACCCTTTCAACTTGAGAGGGTATCTATATGTCAATTGGTAACCTATTGCTGGCTCTAATTAAATGGCCTTGTAATTTCTGCATCATGGCATAGAAGGGCATAGTTAATATGTATTAATTTGCTGGTGCTGGAAGCCTAATTTAATAAGAAGAAATAAGTACAGAAGTCTTTTCACCATTCATAATGAGCATATGAAAAGGAGTAGTGCATCCTCCATTCCTCCTAAAAACTGTTCTGGCTTCCAGAACTGTTTCTATACTGTGGCTCAGTACTCTGGTAGTTGGAATGGTTGACTTTCTTCTTTGGAAATTTGATAACTATTGCCAAAATCCAACATTTCTGATGTTCTGAAATAGAAAACAAACCAGAAAGTATAATAGTCCAAATTAAGTTCCTTTTTTTTTTTTCAGATTTGTTTCCTATTAGCCTTTTTTATGCAAAGCCATTTACATAAATATTCTTTGGCTGTAATGACTATGATAGAAGCCACTACAGGAGTAAATAGAAAATATCTTCTATGTTTAGCTTTTGATACCTTTAGATGAACTTCCTAAATATAAGTGAAAATACACAGTTTCAGTGCCTCCCAGTCTCAACACTTTTTGACTTGTGTATCTGACATTTTCCTTGCTAGTTGGTTATCAATGCTTTGTTCCTTAGCCACTAAACAACTTATATTATTTAAAAGTAAACTGATTTTCATCTGATTTATTTAAAGTCCATTTTCACACAGCATGTGGAAATGTACTTTTTTGTGTCTGATAGTCCTTATTGTCTCTTGTGCAACTTGTTCCGTTTTAGATCAAGTTTGGTGTCAAACTAAATGAAATCACATTAGAAGGGAAAACTATTTCTTGAGGACTTTCTGTTGGTCCTCACAAATTAAATGAAATTGCATTTGCCTGAATGACTATTCTTAGTATATCCATTTTTATTTAGTTCATAATCTCCTTTAAATATTAAAATATAAATATATTGTAAAAGAAAAAAATTGCAAAAATTATCCCCCAGTTATTCCAAAGAGAGTTTATAATTAAAAAGTTTACACTACTAATTCTGATCTGATTCTACACAGCTTTTTATTAAAATTCAACCATAAAGAGGTATACAAAATATCTCTTTCTATAATATTTCTTTTCAAACTTTTGTTTTAACTTAAGGTAGCAATGTGGTTATTTATGCTGATAGCCCTAAAATCCAATTTAACATCCACGTCTCCTGGCAACTGCCTGTTGCTTGGGACACTCTGGTTCCCCAACAACAGACATCTTCAGATTCTGTGGCACTCTAACTCATAAAGCAGAGCTATTTTTGTTAGCTTTGTTGCATCTTCCAACTGGTGTAGCTGTTGCCTGAGACTGCTGTTAGGGGCTTTGCATGCAGCCTCATGCCAGAGTACAAAAGCATCACCACTCCTGACCCAGTGCAGATAAGTGATCATACATTACATTTCCCATTGCAGCATGTTCTAAGATGAATCAGTACATTTTAGTATTGCTGATCCAAGTGCCATTCCCACAGGTCTTAACTAACTTGGAAGATCTTACTTGATTTCAGTCTCACTGAAGAACCTTATTAAGGTTATTATCCTTGCCCTGGATTATTGAAATCAGGATTCAATCTCAAACTTTCACTGTCTTTCAGGATGAAATTAGCCAACCTTCAGCCTCTGTTTCACCAGCTTTTACACACATCAGTAACTCTGTTTCATTCCTATGTTTGCCATAGTATATTCCCAGATATGCCACTTGTGGGAGCCTTAGCAGGACTTTGGAATTGCTCTATCCCAAATGGCTTTAAAGACACCAAAAGGTTAAAGTGTTCAGGCTCAGGAGGGACAGCCAATTCTGTCCAGTGACACGAGTGGGAGCAGAGCTCTTTGGAAAAGGTGCTCCCAAGGGTTGGACAAAGCCCTTTATGTCTCGATTTGCACATTAATTCTGCTTTCAGCTGCAAGGTCTTGCCATACAAATTAAAAGAAGTTTTACTTTGGAATTAAAATATGCTATGGATATCTCTCGTTTTGAACCCAAAGCTGTCTGGAGATCGTGGGATTTTTGAATTATTTCAACAGCATAATACTGTCAAATTTATGAAAGTCATATGTTCCCAATGGATATGTTGTGACCATTTTTCCTTGATTCATTTTTTGTTATATTTTTATGACATGCCTGTTAACAAGCTTCAGTTTATGACCTTGACATTTGCTTATTTTTCTTTTGGAGGTCTTCATAAATCACCCAGATATTTTGTTTAAATCATTAGAAATAAAGCAAGCAGAGAATAAGTCATTGAAACGGACAGAAACAGAATAAGTCATTGAAATGGACAGAAGCAATTTCCTTTCTTTCTCTTTGTGTGGTATAGTTGCCTGGCCCAGAAGCCACACAAAGAGTGAAACATTTGCATGGCAGGGAAAACGCAGCCATATCTGTGTGTGACAAATAACAGGACATCCATAATGCTGTTGGCTTCTTAATTTCAAAAGGCAGATTTTAATATTACTGACTTCACAGAAAGATAAAAAGGGCAGTGCATAAGACATTATCAGTCCAGTGTGGAAATAATGCATTCAAAATTAAAGACAGCAGTTTAATTAAGTGCATGAAAGGCTGGCTTTTATGATCATATTTCAAATACTCCAATGTCTTTTCATCCATTCTGCCATATGACTTTACTTAATAATATATCAAGAACAAAAAATGTATTGGAGTCTTTCTGCAAATTCAATTAGTCCAATAAAAAGTGAAAAATAGTTTCTTTTTCATTAAAAAGAACTCAACCCTAACCCTTCTGATGACAAAGTGTAAGATGAGAAGGGAGGGCAAAGCTAGAGAAGTATGAAAATTCTGTCTTTGTGATGCATTTATGCGTGCACGAAACAGATGAAGTGTCACCATTAGTAACATTTGTTATTGAAAGGACTAATTGCATTCTGCTACAGTTAGTAGTTTATCAGATCCAGACCACAGGGTATTTACTTCTCCCTTAGGATGCACTCACAGCACAGCAATAACTTCAGAGTTTATTGGGCTGCTATGGGCAGGGTAATTATGCTAAAGTGAAACTCTTGCAGGGCTGAACTTAAAGCTGCCTTGACACATTGCACTAGAGCTTTACAGGTTAAGTGCAACCTCTTGAATCCTTTCTACCTGCTAAGGGTTTATAGCTAAGGGAAGTGCAGAGATCATAGCTCTTGTGTACTAAAGCAGAAAAACAAGGAACAACCAACCTGCAAGTGCAGCATTTCAAATGAGACATTGGTAAGTTTGGTGTACAATGAAGGATGTAATGTGCATTTGGAAAAATTTGAGGCCAGTTTAAATGAGGCAACAAAGGGATCTGAAATGAGCTGTTGAGCTTTCGACTGAAAGCAGTAGGTTAGAGGCTCAGCCATGGCACACATCTGTAGTGACTGAAAGTTATTACCACTTGTCAGCTCCTCTGTGACCCCTGTGAAATGAGGTGCTGGTCCCAGCCCAGCTCCCAGAGGACAGACTCTGTTCCAAGCACTTCCAGTGGCATGGCTGGTTTGTCAGTCACAGACCCAGCACAGAGCCTGGTAGTGGTACCATGGTGAATAAACAACCTCCTCACCTCTAGGGCTGGTTCTCTCAGGTCAGAGCTGAGGCAGGCAGGCAAACAATTTGAGCAAGCCTGAAACTCTGCTGCTAACACAGGGTGGCTCTGCTAAATAAACCATCTCATTTCCCAGAGTTGGGTGTTGACAGGTTTCACTTCTGCTGACATAACTAAATGTGGCCCTGAGGGTTGTTGGGGAATGATCTGGTCCTGTTCTGCTTATGGGCATCCACCACACAAACTGATTCCTCTCTGCTGTCATTTTTTCCCCTCTTACTTGTCTTGATTCTTTTAATACTGTGCTATCTATCTAGGGGATGTTTCCCACTATGTTTCTCTCAGTATATGCTTATGAACAGATTCTGTTCCAGATATCTATTCTTGTCCTAATCTCATTTTAACTTCAAAATATTCCTCTCCCAGAGGTTTCCTTAGAATAATTTTCCATACAGTAGAGAATCAGACAGGCTGCATTCTGAAAATACAGCAATGAATTTGCAAGAGTGACTCATCAGGTTTTTAAAGCATTAATTTTCATAGAAAAGAGGTAAGAACTATAAAAATTATTTCTCTTTGCAAGCCTGAAGGTGCAAATAAGAGCAAGAGTTAATGGAAGTATGCTTTAATAAACAGATGTTTGTTTTTTCATATAGGTAACCCTCCTGCTACAGGTACAGGAACCTTACACATCACCTTGGAGGATGTCAATGACAACGTCCCATCCCTTTATCCAACACTGGCAAAAGTTTGTGATGATGCAAAAGATCTCAGGGTAGTGGTACTAGGAGCATCAGACAAAGACCTTCATCCCAACACAGATCCATTCAAATTTGAACTGAGTAAACAATCTGGCCCAGAAAAATTATGGAGAATCAACAAGCTTAACAGTAAGTCTGTTCCTTTTATTCTTATGCATATAGGTCTCCCACCTCTATGTCCCAGTCTGCTCACCCTGAGGCTGCATTATGTGAATTCCAGAGCAGTTGTCTATGAAAGTCTTGCAGGATGGACCCATTGATGCTGCTTTAGTCTGCGCTGGATTTGCAGGGACCAGCTGCCTGGGGAACACACTGATTCTGAAATCTGAAAGTTTTTCTTCTTCTTATGTTGACCAAAGTGTCCTCTTTTAGCTTTGCATTAAAGAAAGGCTACTAATGACTTAATGTTTTGTAAAGACTACTGTATTCCATGGCATGGAATTTGTTTGCATGAGGTGCACAAGGCTTTGCTATAGGACAGCATGAAACTTTTGCATGGGCTTTAGCAATAACCTTGAAAAACTTCCTGATTTTAAGTATTTGAACTCTTTGCAAATAAAATACCCCAATGTACTGGGACCTTACCTGATTGATGAGAGGATCATAGCTCAAGGATGTAACTACACAAGGTTTGTATGGCAAATTATGGGCTCAAAATACATTTCTTTTTAATGTAGAGAATTCCTATATCTTTTCTAAAGTGTATAATTTATCTCTGTCACTCTCAAATTCATTTCATGGTCTTAGAAGAAGCTAAAGATGGATGTGATGTTTGTATCTGTCTGCAGGTCAAAGTGGAGGTGCCATTTTCTTTTCTGTCCTCCAAACATCAAACCACCCACATCACACCCCCTAAATGAGTTAGCATACTCACTTGGGTGAGTTAGCACACTCACCTGGGTACCAATAGCTGTCATGACCCTCTGTTGCTCAGGTGGAGCAGATCTGTGGATTTGAAAAGGCTTCACTTCCCTTCACTGCC